TTGTGGCCGGAAGGGAAACTGGAAGAGAATAAAACAATAACGGATAAACAGTAAGTTTCATTGCATGAAAACCCGTGACCTGACTAAGCCCAGGTTATACCAGAAACTATCCAGGCTATACCGGCATAGTGTGCATGGATATAACACCAAGTGATTACATCATTGATCTGAGTCGGTCCGACTCGGATGCGATCAAAAGGGCACAGGATGTGACACCAGCCCAGCCATCAGTGTGCCACCAGCTCATACCACCACCAACTTATGTGAACTGCATCCGTGTCCCTGCTTGTACTCCTCGCCTGCATTGAATTGTGCACACCTCTTGCATGAGTCACATATCAGTGACACTGACTTTTGATTACAATACTCTTAGTGGTGGTGGTGACAGTACAGATGCAATTTTTATGTAAATACGAAACATGTAATCTGGGGCGCATGCAGATGGCATTGTTATGCAGCCAATCAGGAAGGCAAAAGCAGTCATATGACCTTTTGTATTGAATGTGATCCGATGTTTTCGGTGCGTTACACGTCTCCTTCTATGCTGAGTCTGCCAGCTGTTGATGCTTCCGTGTTTGTTTGGACCAGATGTGCCAGTGGTCGCAAGCAACGCACATCGCGCCGCATTGCTTCTGCCTGTTATATCCGTGTCCGCAACCTCCACAAACCTCCACATCACTCCGGATCAGCTCCACATTCCTCCAGATCAACTCCTGTACTGCTCCAGATCAGCTCCAGATGCCTCCATCATCTCCACACTCCTCCGCTCAACTCCGCTCCATTGGACTTGGTTTTGTCAACTCCGGTTTGCCGGACTTGGTTTCCTTTATCTTCAGAGTTTACATAATATGCAATTAGTTGTCCTTCTGTTCATCCCGCTCATCTGTTTACATTGTACATGCATCTCTTATCATTGTCTTTTTTGGGAAGCTTCTATTTTCCCACGCCATTGTTAAAAGACAATTATGCCTAGCAAAGATCCGCAGACTATAGAGTAGACTTCAGGATATAAACTAGTCTATTTTACTGTATTCCTCAGTTTGTAAATAAATGTTAAATTCCCTCCTGAATATTGTGTTGGTCTATCTGACACAATACTCCAGGTCCCCTCTGCTTTCCTCTTGCCCCTCTGGCCTCGCTTCGACACCTTTACTTCTCCGGATTTACTCCGCCCTTTGATTCACCTCCGCTCATCCTCCAGCTCATCCACTTCCACTCCGGACTTACTCCAACAACTCCGCTCGCCTCCGGAGTTACTCCTCCAGCCCCGCTCACCCCCGACCTACTCCGTTTCAATCCTGTGTGGTCCAGGCAGCAACCACGTAGCCACTCTGCAGAAGAAATGATCATTCGAGTTCTCCTGACATCTGGTTGGCCGATCTGCCCTCCTCCAGTAAATCTGCCTAGCTCCGGACCCGGCTGGATGTCTGGATTCTGATCCTGATTGACCTGGATCTATTTCTTTTCACTTTATATTTTATTCTTCCCTTTTACAATCCACATCCCATTCACTTCTCTTTATACTTCTCATTTCTCCCTTACATCTGTTCTGTCCGCCTTTTTCCCCGCGTGTCTTGTCACATCCATCACATCAATTCGTGACTTGGGGCACGCACTTAACACTGCCCCCCATACATCCACCCTCTTCACCCATCTCTCCCTCCTGCGCCACCCACAGCCGTCTCACCACCCTCTTGCCTCCTCCCACACCTCCCTGCTGCCTTGCCATGCCCTTTTGTGTTTGTGTCACCCACTCCTGCACCACCCACATGTGTTCACTCTGGTCCCTCCACCCCCTCTCCCTCTTCCGCCCCCTCGCTGTTCTCGCCACATGCCTCAACACACAAACTACTTCTGCGATCACGACCTGACACCACCGAACATCATCAACAATGCGTCATACAGCTGCCCCAAGCCCGGCCCTCATTGCGGACGCAAGAAACACGTGCTGGCACTCCAGCAGTGCAAGAATGGGGTTAACCATGGGTGGGTGAAAAGCCAGTCGACCCTGCTCGCCGCCTACGTGTCCCCGGCTTCCCGCTACTGCCCACGCCATTGCAAGACCCAACCTTGCCTTATGATTGGGGTTGGCCGGCAAGCGGCGGGTCACAAATAGAATGCACAAGAGAAGACATAAATGATCATACAGTAGCGGCGAAATCAAATTACTTGACTTTTTAGGAATTTACAATCACTGACGTCGTCCACTCCATTTCTTGTCGTCGGCCACCACATCCATGCTTCCACCAGCGCCCGACGATCCGCAGCACCCACCAGCGGCTTCCAACAATGTGAAATGCACCCCCACAAAGTGTGCCAGACTCATGGTTTACCACGGCGACATGAAGCTGCCGTTCACCCAGATCGCCCAGCACTCACCTTTCAAAAACATCGACCCCCAGACTCTCTCCAACAACCACAACCTTGTCAAGAGCCACGGCGGTGACTGCTACTACAATGGGAAGAAGGGGAAGACTGGGCGGAAGCGCACTTTCATGGAAGCACAGCTGAATGAGGCGGAGGAAAGATTGGAGTCAGGGGAGCTTATTGACGTGGAAGATGTGAGGCGGGTAATGTTCCCCAAGATTCCTGCCCACACGGTGTGCCATAGTTCACCCCCCCCCCCCCCCCCCCCTTTGCCTCTGACATGTTTATTGCGCAGATTCGGGACAATCTCTCCCAAATTGGACTCGAGAGCTTTGCACAGCAGAAGAAGCCCAATCTCCTCCCCCGGCACCAGCTAATACACTCATATTTGCTAGCAATATACAGGGCTACATCCCATGGACGTTGCGAGCAATACATGGGCAGTTGTCCACACAGCCACATGATTACATAAATAGTAAAAAGCAAAAATAAATAGCAGTAGCAGTAGCAGGGTTTGAACCTAGTACCACCTGGTAAGTCACATGACTTACCAGCATACATACCACTTATACTAAGCAGAAGATATTAGAATTGGTGATGATGCTTATATATGTCACTTAAAATATATTTATTATATCTGTATCTCAATATCAATCTCAGCCTATTCTGGGCCAATTATTATGGTAAAAATATGATAAAAATATGGTTGGAAAGGCCTCATAAAACTGATCCAAACGAGCCTAAACAAAAATTTGGGTGATGGACAGATGGTAGTGAAAAAATTCCTTTTTTGGTAAATTTTAGTATATCTCTTCAACCTGTGAGCCAATTTTATTGGAGCTTGGCACCGTTAGAACGAGCGCAAAAAATGGGTCAGAATGACCCTAAACTTATACCCAAATGATGGACATAATGTAGTGATTTATTTCCATTTTGAGACAAATTGCCTATATCTTTCCAGTCTGTGCTCTGATTCCCACGTAAATAGCACAGTTGGAAAGCCATCAAAATTTCCTTTAATATGGGTATAAGAAAGTATTTTTTTTCTTTCCTTTTTGGGAAGGACCTGTACAATATATATCATGTGTTTATAGTGCTAGCAATTCCAGCTTAGTCTACTTGGTAGCAAATATGTCAGGCCTGCCTGGGTTCAATTCTTCTTGGTGTCTTTTTTCATTTCATTTCTTTTTTGTAGTTATAGGATCATACATCTTACCTTTTTAGAGTCATATAGGCAGAATATACACAGAAATTTGCCCATACTGGCCAGCAAGCCGCTGTAATTAAGAAACGACTTCATTCTTCCATATATGGTAGTCCCTGCAATTGCTCGCAATGTTCCATGGGCTGTAGCCCATATGTTGTGAGCAAATATACCTTTATGTCCTGCTGGCACATCGCACAACGCAAGAGCATGTACGAGCGCTACATAGACTGGACTGACGACGATATCTTCCGTCATGGGGTCTTCATTAACTCGGACAAGCCCAAGTTCGTGCTCGGCGCATCAGATGGGCGCCGTTATGTCTGCCGCTATCGCAGCCAAGATGCACTCGCGCCTCGTAGCGTCCAGCCGACGGAAGCCCATGGTCGGAAGGGTGTCAAGGTCAACATTTGGGGAGCGATACACCCCATGGGTGTGTCAAAACTCATCTAGATCCACGGCACGCTCGACGCGGAGCTTTATGTCAAAATCCTCGAGCACGCAATGCTCCCGATCTACGACCACCTGGAAAACCGTCGCCACACGTTCCTTGTGTTCCAGCAGGACAACGACCCCAAACACATGTCCCGCCGCACGAAGAAGTGGTTCAAGGACCACGACATTTCTGTCTTTGAGTGGCCGGCGAAGTCACCCGATCTCTCGCCAATTGAGAATGTGTGGGCTGAACTGAAGCGCCACGCGAGGTGAGATCCACGTTATATGGAGATCTCGACCGACGATGAGTTCTTCCAGCTGCTCTCGGAGATCTGGGAGTCGGAATCCTTCCAGGAATATGCTCGGCATGTATATCAATCATTTCCACGCCATCTCTGCGCGTTGAAAGAGAATGACTTCTTGTGGATCAACTATTAGATGTATATTATGTACCAATACATGTTCCACCGCTGCAATTCCTTTTGTTATGACTCTAGAGTGCGAGAGGAGGTGAGGACGAAAATTGATTGTAAATTCCTAAAAAGGCAAGTAATTTGATTTCGCCGCTACTGTATAACTAAATGCTTATATAAGCCAAACTGTGACATTTTTGGTCCTCTAGGCACAAAGAGAACTATCTGTGAACCTTGATTGATGTGTTCTGGACTTGTATAGCGTGCCGGCCTCGGCATAATCGGCGGAAAGAGTGACTGTGTCACCTCACATGTCATTTGGGTCGCTGGTGCCAATCAGTATATAGATCAACGAGCAATTGTACCCGTGCCTGCGGCACTTTTAATTGATATCCTACTAATTAGGTTAAAGCTGCACTCGGCCGGCGGTTCGCCCGTGCCGCACGTGAGAAAAGTGTGACACCACGTGCGACCCCTGATTTTTTTCCCATCCCACGCCTCACGTGCCGTACTCTAAATTTCCAATCACTCACCCTTGTCGAATACTCTTTATAAAGTAATGTTGTTCGTAATGAAATATCTGCCCCATGGCCCAGTTGGTTAAGGCGCACGACTGTTACTGTTCCAGGTCGGACCTGGTGATTACGTAATTATCGTGAGATCGAGAGTTCGAGCCTCTCTGGGGCAGTTCTTTTATTGTTTTTTTCTTCCTTGTTGAGTTGAGCCTGCGAATGGGAGAACACTCGAGGAAGTAATGTACAACTATTTGGACTCTCTCGATATTATTTTTTATCGTTTTTTTTTTCTTGTTGAGTTGAGCTTGTGAGAAACCGCAGGGTAAACTCGAGGAAGTGTCTCATAGGTGATTCGGCCCCCGTCTACAGTCAATCCACGGTCCTTGCATTTCCTGCGGTCCTTGCATGAGATTTTATTTCTGAGCCAAGAGTATATTTTCGCTGGCTCATTTCACATGCCTCTCTCCCCATGATGTGAGCTTACTTCCCACATTTTTTTCGAGATTTGAGGTTGCTTGGGAATCGGGGAATATGTGGTGCAATGACCAGAACTGCATTGCCGACAACCAGACCTCGAGCATCGGACTGATTTTGACCAGAAAATTTGACCAGGATGGGCTTTAGCATCGTACGAAAATAGTACAAAAAAGTTGAGCCCAACAACTGCTCAGGTCGTGCGGAATTAAGTACGATGAGATAGCTGCGCATCCACGTGATGTTGATGCCCGCACAAACAATGACTCCGAAATGAACCTGAGTGTGGTCCTACCAGCTCAGGTTCGCAATGAGGGTGCCGAGACGAGCGAGGCTGAGGGTGGGGAAGTCGATAGGACAGGATGCAGGAATATAGAGATGTTGTTTGGGGATGATTCATCAAAAAATTCTGACTCAGAGTTTGAGTCGGAGGAGGAGATGTGAAGGAAATCGGGCAGCAGATAAGGCAAAGATAAGGCAACACATGCATAGGTAGATGAATTGAGGCCTAAAATGTCGGAAACCATCCAAGTTTTCATGTACCGAGGTCGTACGTAGCTCATTTGCGCAGAAATGCAAGGACCGCTTAAGACCGAAAATCCGGCCTGCACCGATTCGGCTAAAAAAGAGCAAAACTCGATGAATTCTTCCAAACTTTTTTGTATGTAGGTTCATAGTCTATGCGTCTCTCTACACCATCTAGGCACTTTACTTCATCCTAAAAGCTCAATTTTACAGCGAGAAAGGCGGATTTCTGCAAGGCCTGCGGATTGACTGTAATAGTCTGATCCTATCCAAGTACTGAAACGTCTAGCGTATATAGCATCTTCCCAGTATACAGAAATACGAAGCGTATAAGGTACATTGTACAGAAATGTAAGAATATCACATTACATGATCATCTCCAACTAGATCCAGAACCCCGGGTGGAAGATGGTGGGGTGAACGACGTGTTGCGAGACAAAAACTGCGGCTGCGAATTCGTAGGAGGACTTGGTGCTGGCGCCTTCTCTGGTAGATATAGCGGAATAGTGGGGATAAGCTCAAAGACGTGTTGAGCAACAGCCCGTGTAGGCCGGCTTCCGGGATCAACGCCGTTCATAACAGCATGCACTTGTGCCTCCTGCACTGTGGGCTCTCCGTCGACGGCCGGTCTCGACACAATGCTCGAGCCGACACCTCGCCCATCCCAAATGCAGCGCATTTCGTTGCCGGGGATGATTTGTGCCAGACGGCCAGTTTCGACATGTCGAACTTCGATGAATCGAGAGTCGAACAGGAGAATGTAGGGCGAATGCAGCGCAACTTTCTCCGCATTACCTTCCCATTCAATAGTAGCACCTCCGCGCCGCGGATCCCCGTGCTTGTCAACGTAGACCCCGAATTCTGACAACATCTTGAGGTCACAGACTTTGTCTCGATAATGAAACATACCGTTGTAGCACAACAGGAATCCGTCCTCATCCGAACGGAACATTCCTATTGGACGGCATGCATCACATCGCTTGGACAAAGGTGCAAGCCTTGCATCATCTCGAAGCGGTATGGTGACGCTTTTGAAGCTACGGAAAGGTGTCAAAACATTGTGTAAAAGTCTCGAGGCAACGCACTCGTTCAGGTCCATGATCTCGAAGCCTTTCGTGCAAAGAATCGCAATCCTTGCCTTAAGGAAGTAGAGATCAAAGGACTCGGATGGCAGGAAAAAGTCCTACGAGCAAAAGACATTAGTTACGTTGCATATATAGGTGATGAAAACCAATGCACTCTGTAAATCCGGAACCATTCGGACTTGGTCGATCGGAAGCCGAGACGCGAGCCCAGACCCGCGGGAGCTTTGACCCTTTCATTAATTTTGTCACTCACAGGCTCCAGAACTCGGAAAATGCTGTCCAGCTATCACTATATTAACAAAAAAAGTAACTTTGGTCAGAAAATGCACATACCCCTTTCTTCTTCATATAAATAACCAGAGTTCGGTTGTGAAGCGTTCCGACGCTGAAGAAGTGTACGTCTTTCGTCCCATTCAATTTCTGCGGCACCTGCGACGCGTGGCTGCCCTGTGGGGAAGACGGCACTAAAGCCTCGATGTGGTAGGCGAACAGCGACTGTACGCAAATAAGACACATCCCATGGCACGCTGCGCACGTACTTTGTCCGCCAGAACAAGAAAAATGCCAAATTCCTCGAGCATGGCACACTGAGTGACCATCTTCAAATGGAGGACGCGACGCATAGCTGTACAAAGTAAATAACCCATGTTGAGCAAAAGAACCAAAGTCACATACACCGGGGATCGTGGCGGAACCCTATCCATACACCTTCCGCGCATCCGATTGCAACTAAACCGCGCCCATCGGAGGTATCTATATAACATGAGTCTTTTTCATCCTCACAGTTTAACCACAGCAACCTACTGAATGGAACAGAACAAGTGACTTTCCCGGTGAACGACGTGCTCTGATTCCACTGCGGCGAAGGAGGGCCGACCTGGGCCGAAGCCACCAAGAACGTTTCGGCACTGAGAGTTTCAACCTCGAACACCCTGTTCGATTCCTGAACGACCTGGCGAATGCCTAATGCCTCGTCCAATTTTTGTTTCCATTCCGAACGCGCTTGCTGCGATTCGGAAAAAAGAATATGCGCGCCACCCAAACGGCCATTGTGGTGGATGGTCCAGGGATACACCACACGCGAGTCCACGGCACTTTCCGGCGTCGCTGAGGCGGTTGCGCCTGGCGAATCGTGACGGTCCCCACGCAGATTGCGAAGCAAGCCAGCACCGCGCTGTGTTGGGGGATCAGTGAAGTTAACCAAAGTAAGTAAATCCAAAGGAATTGGCTATGCGCGCGTCAGGTTGTGATGTTTTAACGAGGACAAAAATTTACTCGTCGGTTCACGTGATACTTGGTGACTCCATCCCTCTCTTTGGGCTTCGTCATTACGACTATTGATTGAGTCAACTTGGCTACCAATAATGAAGAAACGAGTACACTCACAATAATTATCAAAGAGAACCAAGAACAGCTCACTCCATCCGCTCAAATCGAGCGTTGGAATGGTATTGTCAGGCTGGCGGAGAACCTTGCCAGCAAAGATCAAAGATCGGTTGGGGTCAAGTAGATCCATGTCCTATGCATAACAAGTGAGTGTCAACGTCATAAACAGGATATAATACGCACGACTGCCTCTCCGGGTTTGAAAACAAGGTTGGAGTTGTACCGCCAGAGTTCAACCTTTTGCTTTGCCGAAACGACGCCTGGCTCGGTATCCTTCCCAAGAGCCTTGATGACTTCAAGCACCTGAGGAATCTCCTTACGATCATCATGATTCGTCGGTGTCTCGTCCAAGATTCCCTTGAGCAGCAGCTCATACCGGAGCAGCCTAGGGATGGGCCGATTAATGAAATTTTTCATATCAAGCCGATGCGCCTCGGGATGTCGGACACATTGCTACATTAACATCGGGCTGAGTATATTGCTCCAGGTCTCAACAGAAAACAACGCATACCTCAACAAAGCTCTTGAAATCGAGGTTGTTTGCCATCTCGTCGTCGATCCTGTACGCCGCAATCGGATAGTTCGGTATGTACTCCATGTACACGTCCCTAAAGTTGAGAGCCGCGTCAAACATCGCCGCGGTGATGCTGTGAATGTTGGGATGCTGCTCGCGTTGTATCTCATGAAACTTGTTCACGAGCTTCAGATGGTGTGCATAGAGGTCCCTGACGTTATGGAACACTTCTTCGATGAACTGCTCAAGACGGTCGGGCTGCATAACAGGTGGTGCGGCTGTCCGGAGAGGTGTGATATATATCTAATCGCAGGAAGTCAGTAAAGGGTAATGCGCTTTCGTAAAGGACTCGCATTTTGTATGTTTTCGAGATCTTTGACGTATGCCATCTCGCCTTTGATCAACTCGAATATGATACTAGAGTCCAAAGTCAGACTAGACGTCGTCGAAACATGGAGGAGATCACTCACGACTGGCGCTTTTTCTCTTCTTTCGGCATCGCATTCATCACTTCCGGTGCGACCAGGTCATGCCACTCCCACTTCCCAGGCGTGCCTTTCCCCATTGCAGACTGGAATGTCCGAAGTTGAGCCACGGTCTGCAGATTGCGAATCGCATCGACGGCCTCCAACAAGTACTCTGCATCCGGGTTTCCTTCCGCCGTCTCGTGGTATATTGCTTCGAGCAGCACGGGGTATTTTTGGAGATGCTCTGCCGGTCGATTCAGGAAGTGTTTAAGGTCGAGGCGCATTGTCTCGCCAGGGCGAGACGACTGCCGGGAACAGTGCTGAATAATGGGTCAGCGGCATACAATTGACCAGAGAAAGTTCACACTTCAAGAAACAACCTGAACTCCGGGCTCGCGTCCATCTCCTCTTTCATGCGCTTCTCCGCCAGCGGATGGTGGCCGACATAAATGGGGTACGCCAATCTAAACTCTGCAGCAGCTGCGAGAAAAACGTCTCCTGCAGGCCGCTATCAACATCGCTGGAAATTTTGGCGCAAACGCAAAGAAAAAAAATACTGACCAATTCGTTGTATAACGGGCGCCTGTTCTCGTTGTCGGACGTACATTACCTCGAGTAGACGACGATTGCACTCCCTAAGATCCAATATATTCCCGAATACCTCGTCGATAAATTCCTCCAGTCGCTCCAGTGGAATGACAGGCGGGTTTGCCGTCCGCAAC